TTTTTTTTTTTTTTTTTTTTTTTTTTTTTTTTTTTTTTTTTTTTCTTTCCAAATAAAAATGAAACAAAACAAAAAACAACGCCCAAAACAAGAAGGGATGCTTTTTGGGTTAAAGCAATCTGTTGCTGCTGTTCAGTCATCAATCTTCACAGGAAGTGAGTCTGATGTCCCAGGAGCAAGGGACTGGGAGGGAATCCATATAGAAGCTTCCTCACCTCTTGTTACTTTCTCCCACTGGCTGAGATTGTCCCTGGAGATGCAAAAAAGTCAGAGGTAAAGCACTGTTCATAAATTTACTAGGATTTCCTCTTAACACCACCATTTGCTGTACTATACTTAGAGATGTAGCTCTATGCTGTACCTGTATATCATCAAGCTTTTATCACCTTTATTTCATCTTTCACCTTACGTTATCCCATTTTGTAATTCTGGGTGTCTCGTATATGTGTTCACTAGATATGTCTCTGGCATACCTTCCCCAGAATAAGCCCTGAAGCTAGAGGCTAGAACCTGCTTCCATTAAAAATTTCTAGCCCTCATGGCTGCAGAGAAAACCCAGCTGTGACCCAAGAGACACATGTCTGCAGAGATTCTGAAACAGCAGCCTGAAGACAAGCAGCCTTCCTCACTTTGGACTTCAGGGATTTTACCACAGCATCCTTTAGCCCTTTTCAAAACCACCAGAGATTGTGACTTCTGCCAGGAAACTTCCTTTACAGGAAACCACAGAAGTGCATTAAGCTTTCAGAAACTCCTGCATATGGGCTGCTCACCAGTCTATAAAATGTTGTATGCCAACATCATAGTATCAACTTTCAGTTACTAATACGGTGATCCTACTATCAACCTACTACATTTAAAGAGTACCCCTTCCTCAAGACAGAAATTTTTTTTAGTGTCTCACATTCTGGTCAACTCTCAAGCCCAAGTTTTGGCTTACAAGCCATAAAATAATGGAAAATTAAGCTGGTAATGTTCAAATGATCTGAAGGGGCTACAGACCCGTGATCTTACTTGCTGTACACAGTAATACCACTCCAGTGACTTGGAAGTCTGTGTTGATGATGTCCAATAGTGGACCAAACATGCAACATAGGGCCAGATCTGGCAGTCTTCAAATACAGAGAGAAAAGGGCAAGCTGTTTCAATTTCATTTCAATGTCAGACATCTAGTTACTAAAACAACAGTTCTTAGAAGTCTTCAGTAAGCAAACAGGATGGTAAAAGTACTAAGGTCTTACATGCTATGTCATATTATTGTATTACATCAGAATTCATGTAGCAGAGCTCTTCTGATTTTTATGGAACAGCTTTGCTGAAACAGTTGCTAAAACACCAAATAATGAGCTGAAAGCACAGAGAACGGGTAAGAAAAGAAAATGTTGCATGTTCTGGGTACGGGAGAAGGTAGGATCTGATGGAGTCTACCAAAGAAAGTTGATGCCCTCTAGGGGAACACCTACACCATTGTCTGCAGACAGATGGAAAACTGCTCTGCTACTGCTCCAGGACAACTGGAAGTCATGAAGCCAGTGTTAACATGGCACTGAATCTCAGCTAATACATTCAGGCACTAAGGATTAGAAAAAACTGAGCTGTCACTATTTCTAGGTCCCTTTCCTAAAACTGGGAAAGTAATGAGGAGAATTGCAGCCAAAATATTTTTAAATTGTATCCACTTCATCAAGAATTGAGAGACCTGAAAGCACGTGGAAAACTGTTTAAAATTATTTGGTCTGAAATAAAGGAGAAAATTAAATCAGTTCGCCTCATCCTTAAAATAAATATACTATCATAGATTTGCCACTTTGGTAGACCCACTGAGTATGTGGGCTACAAAATATACATAGGACTTATTCTGAAAACTAACACAGGTGGCTGGTAGTTTTGATCTACATAGAATGACAAGAGAGTATTTAAAAATGTGGAATAAATTACTGGACAAGAAAGCCTTCTAGATTCTTAGCTGCTACCTTACCTCAGGGAAACAGTGACTAATACTTTTTTTTTTTTTTTTTTTTTTTAAAGATGTTGATAATACAATTCGTTTGCCTTTGTGCTCCAAGTGAAGTCCTGGCTCCTAAGTGTCTGGAATAAATTCTCAGAAAACTCTCAAAATAAAAACCCTGATGCTGACATGCTGCCTTGGCTGCTTTTGTCACTATTATTTGCAGCTGGTGTCTGTGTTCCAACGAATTCAAGGACGTTGCAGCTTAAACACTGCGTTCCAAGAACGAGCACTGCTAGTGAAGGGGTGGTATCAAAATCGGTTCTGTCAGCAGCTGAGGCAATACCATACAGCAATGAGGCTGTATTCCTCTCATCACACTGAATAACAGTTGCCCATTAAAAATAAAGGAAAAAAAACAGTATAGTGCAAAATCAGCCATTTGAAATGCTCTGGAGTAACCTAAACCCTGCAATGACATGTATTTTAGTAATTGGGGAGTTTGAAATGAATCTGTAGTCTTGATTTCCTACTCTGCATCTCAAAGTCTGAACTCTCAACACTTCTTCCTCAACCTCCTCAAACAGACAGCAGAGGGTAATTTCAAGGCTAAGCTAAAACTATCAAACTGTTCCTCAGAAGACTGTGCCAGGGTGTGGATTTTCAGGAAACAATTCATTTTTACAGATACCTTAATCCCCATCCACATATCTATGCCCCAGTTCTGCATCAATGCAATCTGAATTAAGGAATGCACAAGAACAAGGTGGGGAGCTGTGTCTGTACAGAGCTGTGCCCAGTCTGGAGACTGTGCCAGTGTGGCTTTCAGAAGTATCAGTATTATAACCGTAACTGGAATTCCAATGAACAAACATAATTTCTAGAACAGAAAGGTTCATAATCTCTGCCAGGAGTGATTGCTTTTACTTCAGATATCACACCTTTTGCAGAAAAACCCACTCTAGAGAAGATGTTCGTGCTTGATCTTCAGAATCACGGAGAACCTTTTATCTAAACCACATATGTATGTGGGTGCTTGATACTCCACAATTCAACTTTAAACCTACTCAGATGAGTACTGAAAGATGGACCACCGACTATTACAAGCCACTTTTGCAAGCAAGCCTCATTTGGATATCTATGTGGCCTTTCCAAAACCCTCTCCCGAAGAAGATGCTGTACAGTCTGAAGCACTCAACCTAGCCTCGCTAAGCCTCAGTTCCCATTAAGTGGAATAACAATGCTAACTTCTTACCAAAGGTACTGGCAGGCTTATGCAAATGGTTCTACATTTTTAAGACTTCTCATTTGATTGTGCTAGTAGCAGAACTTTCCTGACATCCAGTGCTGAGATTAATTTATTAATTATATAGACTCTGCAAGACATTTTCACATTAGAAGCATATAGATACTGATTTGGGAAGTAAAAGTACACCCACATGTTGTCAAATTAATAATACAAAAGAAAGAAAAAATTTCATCTATAAAGTAGTTTGACAGTATTAGCTTGAGTAGAAACAAGTAACTGGAAAACTCGTGGTATTACTGCCTTTCTAATAGTGGGTATAATAGTTGCTGTTTAGTCCATGTAAACAGTATAAAACTCTTTCTGACAGAAAACATGGTTATGCAAAGCACAATCTATGTTCCAGTAACATGGATCGAACAACTGACCATTTAGCTTTCAGTCATCAACACAGCTTAAGCAACATGTCTTCAAGCAACAGTTACACAGAGAAGTTAGAAAACTTCCAAGATCTCAGACTACTTCTCAGTTAAGCAGTTGGATGACTCATGATCTTGTAAAGACTGAAAGGATTACAAGCAGTTCTGTAGTTTAATTCATATTCTCTGATTTCACACTGAAAGCAATTCTTCCATATTTGTCAGAGTACACATTATTCAATTATCTGTGATCAAATTATCAACACTTATATATTAGGTCAACATAACTCAGGGAGTACACATTCCTACCCCGTACTGTAACTCCAAAATTCAAAACAGGATTTGGACTCTGATATCGTTATGATAGTAAGACACCCCACAGCATTTTGAAACCAGAGAATAATTTAATGCTTTATTGTAACTGATGGAACCACTGAAATATGCACTTACAAATATTTCCACATTATGCAATTTAGGACAAAAAATTACTGCCTATTGTTTACCAGACACTGTTACTTTCATAGTTTCTAAGGATGAAAGACACTACTCTAAGGATCACTCAGCTGAACTGCATAAAAGAGACAATTGGCAATTTCATCACAGTAACTGTATCTCAGACCAGTAACTGTGCCTTAGACCTGTATCCCATTTACCTCTCTTTTAAAAAGTATATCTAGCCTTGGTTTAAGATCTTCAACTGGCATTACTCCAAATGCTAAAAAAGACATTCACCATATTCCTCATTTGAACCTTTGGGCTTCAAGTAGTCTTTACCTGCTAAATTAATGAGTTTTGTTTAATCAGAAAACATACTATGGAGATAGTTACAGATTTCGATAAAGATATTATCTTGGATAAACTAAATGCATTATGTCAGATTTTTTAGTCTCTCACTACTAAGATCTCAAAACATTCTTTAAGTTCTTCTCTTATTTTCTAGTGTCTTTATCTACTCTTCTTAAAGCACAGATGCTAAACAGGATTCCAGCTGTAGCCCCATTAGTGTAATAACTACAGAAGTATCATCTCTAATCCTACTTAGTATTCCCTCCATATCTATCTAAGGGTTGCACATCCATGCCCAGCAATGGGACCTTAGAGGCAGTTGACTATTGACGATGGCTCCTAGATACTCACTGATTTTTGTAAGATAGTCTTCTGTCTCACTGGTATAGACCTACATATTCTTCTCATAGTGATATGAAATAGCGTTTTGCTAACCATTATGTTACATTTCATGGCATTGTATATAGTGGGCACTGTTCTTTTACTTCACATGGATCATTTAGTCCACAAGATCAGGCAAGTGACAGAGTAGGCAGATATGCCATACAGAACAAATAAAATGTTCAATGCAAGCTAGAATTTAAGGACCAGAGGAGGAAAAAAAAAATATTATGAGAGAGGTGCTAGTAAGAGCATAGAAAACAGGCCTCTTTTTCCTGGATGGGACTAAAGATTGCTGGCATTTTATGAACTAACTGTTTTTCTTTAGAGAATAGTAACTTGAACATTTTCACGAAGTGTACTGGTTTCAACAGAAGTTTTGTCAGGAAAGATTGCTAAGGTCCAGGATATAACTATTGGACAGAACTACCTACAAAGAGATCCACCATCATTCCAGGGTAGAAGCAGCCAATTGGTTAAGGACCTTCTCCTCTCCTCCAGAAGATCCCAAGCTGACAGTCCCAACTGACTGATAGGACAAAGTTACATTTGCCTCTCCCACATCCTAGTGGTACCACCCTTACGCTCCTATTACTGAATATTCCAGGGATCTTTCTTTTCCTGCTTTTTTAATAAAAATGTTCTGACATGAAATGAAACTACATGCAAAACCCACATTTTTTTTAATGAAACCAAATTCTAGCCAATCTTAGTTGTGAGAACCAAGTAAAAAGGACACAGGGAAATTGTACTGAACCAGCGTAGATAGGTATACATAAGCACTGAACCAGTTTCTCTCTAAATGCTTTTAGCATCAAACACATTTTAATCAGCTGTGTCTGTAGATCTGCACTGGATAGTCCCAGACAGTATTGCCTCTGGGTTTCTGCATAGATTAATGCACGATGTTTATCCCTGTTTATCTGAATGCAAATTCTAAAATTAAAAGTCTATAATTCCAGACAAACTTGCAAAGCATGTTCGCTTTTTCTTTAACTAAGGTACATGATATACAAAAACTTGCGTTATTTACTGACCTGCATGCTCGGAGTAGCGGCCCAGTTGGAGGAAAGATCTGTGCAAGTGTGGTGTAACATGGGATGGCTACAGCATTGTAGAACCCAATCTATGAAAAAAAGTAATGAAGAAGAATAGTTAAATGTTGCCAAACTGTAACATTGAAAGTTAACAGTCAACTAGCTCAAAGCTGTTGACTACTTACTCAATTACCATTTACATTAGTACTTCACACTGCTGCATCTCCTCTTAACATCCAAAAGCTTTAAAATGAAGCATTAACAGTGAAGTCTCTGGTAATTACAAGTTGCTTACATGCCTCTATTTATGACTAATATGACTGCTTTTATTATCCAATTGATTTGTTCAGGATCTGTCTGGCTTTTTGTGTCAGCAGTGGCAGGAAGTAGGTGCAGATGGCAGAGCCATTTCTGCAAATATTATTCTTGTGATGATATTTTTTAAAAAAAAAAAAAAAAAAAAAGGAAAGTTGTGCAGCATTGCCAAAATATGGTTAGATTCTGGATTGATCCGATGTCCTCCAGAGTATTTATTCCATAGCTCAATTTATTTGAGATGCTGGGGACTTTGCACCTTTGGAAAGTTTCTAAAAGGTGTGCACTGTGATCAATAACTGGTTTGCAATTTGTTTTCATTATGTGGTCCAGTGATATTTTTTTACCATTATCATATAAATCTATTTTGAGAACATCAAATGAGTACCTCTTTAATGATATCTGATTCATACAGGCTTAGGAGCTTATGACAGCTACCATGTCACAGCTGAATTATCATGACACAAGGAAATTTTTAGAAAATGCTATTTAAATATTAGCAAGGATGACAGATTAAATTCAGATCCATTATAACATCACTCATTTATCCCAGACTCTCATGATAGTTACAGTAGTGCTCTGTGATCCCTTTCTCTGGGCAGAGTTTTTAAATGCCTTTTAGTGAAATACCATGTATTGTACTGTGACCAAAGCATTTAATAATGTCTCTTTTTAGCAGCCTAAACATTGGCCCTTATTCAGAAATAGAAGAGAAACTCTTGTCCTCACCTCCCTCAGTACAAAGATTCCTCCCATACTGCTATGTAACCAAATCCATTCTGTACTATTAAAAAAAAGATACATTTTCTGACCTGAGAACCCAACAGTCTGAGTTGAAGTAATCATGATGTAACAAACAGAAAGAAACTGCAGCTAGTGAAAAGGCAAGGCTGCACACAGGTGTGATGTCTGCTCATCAATAAAAAGATTGCTATTTTGCATAGTGCACCACTGTTTTTTTCCTATGTGTTTTTTCTTGTTGGCTCTTTTTCTTGTTTATTCTTAATGAGGACTATTTTATTTCACTGGAAAACAGAATATTACTCCATAGTTATCAAAAATTAAAATGGGACCTTCGGTAGAGTCACGCTTTAGACCTTCTGGCTCAGTGAGAATTGTGTTGTCGTTGCAAATCCTAACATATTTCAACCAAACTAATTTAATCTGTAATATATTCTGAACAACCTTCTCTCCGGAACTCCGTTATTCGGAATAAAATGTGTCTTTTAAGGTCCTGAAAACTTGGAAGTTAAAATGCACATCAATCTAGGAGGAAAAACCCTAGAAGGCTCAATGGATTTAAGTTTTCAATAAAGCCAGCTAATTAAAAACATTCCTTTGAGAGTTTCCATTTCTGACTGAGAGCAAACGCATACAAATCCCTTTTGTAAAAGGTTTGGATTGTCCAAATCAATGATTCCAGATTTATTTTATGTTGCTGTGGCTAGACAGAAATCCTAGGGTTGACTCAGGTATGAGCAAACTATTGAAGTCATGGCAGGAATGGCAGTGTATGTATATCTTAAATATGCATAAGCAAGAGGAACTAGCAAATATTTTCTGTTTTGGAAATAAATTGTTCCTGTCTCTTTAACTGTGCATCCTAAACATATAGGAAGCTTTAACAGACGGATCTTTAACGTTCTGACCAAAGTAAGAAATCTCCCTTAACGTTTTAAACCTTGGTGCGTAAGAGTAAACTTTATATTTTCAACTTGAAAACTGCATTTCTGGGATAAGCTTTGAATGGCTGAAGCACACGAACTGTTCCTTCTCTCCCCCTTCATTACTCAGGCTGGCTTGACTTGCTTATTAAAATGACTTTCAAGTCACTGCATAGTTTTGGCATTGCTATTTTCTTCACAGGTTCCAAAAGGAGGACCAGAAAAGAAGATGGTGGGATCTTTGCTGAGTTAGGAACAAACTCTCAGTGCAGGCTCCACAGAAAGAAGACACCAGACTCAGACACCTGACATGAGTTGTGCCGCAAAGGGTGTAAAGCACAACAGAGACCAACTGATCCAGCCACCCAAGTGAGAGGAATTGCTAAGTACAAGCTGTTCTGATCAAAGATGAGCACTTGAGGCAGAAGTAGGTTTTGTCAGAGATTACATGTTTATACAAATCCTCATTTCCTAAACATCATCATTTAAACAAGGTATCAGTTCTTTAATTAAAATTCACATAAAAATACTCATTAATGCTTTTTGTTAGAGACCAAGGAATTGGATGATAATGCTTCAAATTCTTCAGTGTCTACATAAATATAGGAATGGTTACTTTCACGGACTTGTATATGTCCCAAATCTCACACTTTGCTGCAACACTGTTGTAAGAACAGCTACAACTATACTACTGAAGTTGGCTTTTAACATCCGATTTTGCTTAATATTTTACTGTCAAACTATTAAGAAGCATGGAACAGAGCACAAAGTTTAAAAGAACCTGACGAAGACAGTACCTGGAACAATTCTGACTGTGTCTTAAAGAGGAAAAATAAAGCTTATTTTTTTAGATCTGTGCTTTCACCTCATTAACATTTCTTTCACAAATGCCAAGATGAGTACATACCATAATACTCTCTACTTTTCAAGATGTCCAATGATAACTAATATAGTGTGAGGGAAAATAAATCAAATGCAGAAAAATGTTTCTGCTATTTTTAGGTTTATACTAAACATACAGATTCAGTAAATTAACTGCTAATTCCTTACTGTAATAAGGGTAATAGTTTTCATGCTAAAATATGATAAAGCATATGGAGTAAAATGTCAGAATATAGAAATTTCCATAGTCTTGTTTACCAAGTAATTAATCTGTAGTGATTTTGTGACGTCATTTCTAATTTATTTTAATTATTGTTCATTTCAGAGTTCATTAAATGCTTTGTGAGTGTTAACTACTGACAAATAAAGCATCAGATACAACTAAAATAAAAACCCCCTTATACATATATATATATGTACATGTATATGTATATGTACATGTATATGTATATGTACATGTACATGTACATGTATATGTACATGTACATGTACATGTACATGTACATGTACATGTACATGTACATGTACATGTATATGTATATGTATATGTATATGTATATGTATATGTATATGTATATGTATGGATAATGGACAACTTAAACTTACTTTTCTCTGCTCAGATAATCAAAGGACAAGCTACCTTTCTCATCTACCCAAAAAAATTAGTTCAAAGACCCTTTTTTTCCCTTCAAATTTATGTTTACAAAATACTAACTTTCCCAAGGGAAAGCATTAATAAAATCAGTCATTTCTGCACATTTGTGCACAGGAAAATCAGTACCCAAAGCCTATGAAACACAGAATACTGAGGCTCTTAAAAATACACTCTTTATTGCTTATCCTCAAGAAACTCTTCACTTTTTTTTTTGTTTGTTTTAATTTTAGGAATGACAAAAAGCAGTGTTTGTAGTCATCCAAAAACCTAATGAAGAAGTATTGGTATAGAATCACAAATATTTTGCAATCTGAATCTGAGTATTTTAACCAGGAACAGGTGACGAAATTCATCTTGCATTCAGGATAAAACAGCAAAACCTTTTACCTAAGGGCTGAAGCAACCACTTCCTAAATTGAAAACATGTTATTGACACGTCTTGAAATCATAGGTGACTGTGGTTTTAGCTAGAGTTACAAGTACAGAGAATGGAACGTAACAACAGCAAAGAGCACACTGTCATTTAAGAAAACATTTGAAAACAAGTTTTCCACTGCTGCTTAAAAAAGTTAACCCTGTTTTGCATGCAGAACATAAAATTCAATAGCCCACATACCCTAATGTCAAATACAGCATTCACTAATATGTAAAATGTTTTTTTCATACGTGTTTTATTAACACTATAAACATGTATCATTGTACTGATTGAGTTCATACCTGACCCTGAGGGACTTCATCTTTCTTGTCTCTGTCCATCATAGGAATAGGTTGAATACCCGTTTTCTTCATTTCATCACCCTGGAGAAAGGCAGAGGAGAGATTAGGAAAACAAAAATGAAGACTACTGAGATCTGAATTAATTTCCATCTTATATTGTATGTCAGTCTAAAAATCCAGAACTTAAAATAATGTATAGTGCCTGTCTAAGGCAAACTCACAAAACTGCCTAAGGAGGGGCTCATTTTGTACATTCACCTAAATGATAATGTAAACAGCAGATGCTGGAAATGAAGTTTTTGAATCAATGTACACACATTTTCCTTGTTTCCGAGGTCATCTCCATAATAAAAAGCAACTAGAAGAATAAAACCAAAGAAAGCAGTTCATTCTATTCTGCTCTCTTCATAGTTAGTCTCATCTTTCAAAACACTACCCATTTAAAGCAGTATAATACAATGACCAGTAGAACACAACACACCCATCCAAGGAAAAGCTGAATTTACAATGTGCCCTCTTTGTCAACAATACAATCTTTATGACCATGCTGCTTTGAAGAAGCTGCCTGTCAAACAGCCTTCTTTAAGTACGTTATTCCTCTACATTCATAAGAGGAATACTGGAAATGATGCAGGATATGCAAAGACCAGATATATGTAATGTACAAGTGAAAACTGTCTCCTTGTATTCCACCCACTACCAGCAGAACAGGCAAAACATATTTCTGAGCGCTATACTGGGACTGAGCAAAATTACTCCTAAAAAACCCATAAGTAGTTGCCTACTTTCTGTAACAAATTGAAGTTTTCCAATAGTCTTATGTCTCAACCACATTTCAAACCACCACGGATGTTTAATCTTAAGGTTATAAAGGCAATTACAGCTGTAGCAATGTTTTGCGTGGCGAGGTTTTGGTAACAGGAGCCTTCAGGGTTGAAGCTTCCCCCATATCCAATAGAGCCAGTGCCAGAACTATGAGGGGCTGCTCTGGGGAAAGTTAACTCCGTCCCCGACCGACCCAATACACCTTAGTTAGGGAGAAAGTTTATGCAGGAATATTTATGCAGGAATATGCTTACAGAATATTTGCTTATTTGTGTCCTTTAATGTGAGATTCAGCTTACAGAGGTATAGCTATCTGAAAGCTTGGGATGTTCCCTAAATCTGTGTTCTAATTTTCTGCTACAGTTAGTGAAGGCATCTCAACTATTTATTATACCTTTCTCATAAGATCTTAGCAAGACACATTTCAAGTGCCAACGTGCCCTTTCAAAGGAGGATTTTGGAACTTTTACTCAAAGGGAAGTTTGCAATATAATAAATTGATTCTGATCTGAGCAGAGCATCTTTCTGCTTGACCACTTTGCAACTACTTTGAGTGGATGGGGGCTTCTGGAAGTCAATTCCCTCTTGTCTATTTGGCCTCATCACGTATTAACTATGAATCCTGGTCAATTATCAAAAAAGAGATGGAACCAGGAATTTTTGAATTGGTGTCTTTAATATTCTCTCAAATCACATATTTCTTTATCCAAGTAGTTAGAGAGGTTAGAATCATCAAATCTAGTCTCTTTTAGACATTTTACTTTTGAAAGAAACAAAAGGAAAGGCCTCTTTCCTCAGCTAATTTAAAAAAAAAAAAAAAAAAAAAAACATTTCCAAGCACAGAAATTCAGTGGGTTGTTATTTAGGAACTGTAGGCAAATTTTGGTTTTATGTGCCCCCAGTAAATAATTATTTTTTTTTCCCATTTATTTCAACTACCATTTATTTCAACTACCACAATTAATTGATCCAGGACTGTCTGCAGCTACCATAGTCTCAGTGATAAGAAACTCAACGCTAAATCATTTAGTATCATATGATTTTAAGCTCTTCGATGAACATAACATCCAGTGCTTGAGAGACATTTGAAGTCAGAGCTTTGAGGAAGCTGTCCAGCTTCTGACTGATTATGCCAAAACTGAACAAAGCTCAGATCTATGTTCACCATTTCACCTTGAAAGAAAAGGTAACAGAGTCACAGAACGGTTTGAGTTGGAAGGGACCTCTTGGCACCATTCAATCCATCCCACACAGCTATGCCAGCAGCATCAGCTAGAGCAGGTTATCCAGGTGGTCCAGTCAGGTTTTGAATATCTCCAGTGATCAAGACTCCACAACTTCCCTGGGCAACCTGTGCCACATGATCACCCTCACAACAAAAAAAGCATTACATCTAGATAAAATGCATGCACTAGAAACACGTGTTTTCTTGTGTTCAAGTATGTGTGAACATATATGCGATACACTTTTAAAAAATGCTGCTTCTATCCTCATGGTTGTAATCATGATCAGATAGGTAAAGTTTAAATTTTAAGCAAGTAAGTTTATATTGTACTTGCAGTATGGCTATAATAAGTGGCTTATAATAAGTCTCTTAAAAATACTGCAGAAAGGGTTTAACAACTACCTAGTGTCTCATATCTTCCCCAC